GGGTGCTGAAGAGGGTAGAGAGGAGGGTGAGGTGGAGGAAGAGAGGGGGGAGAAAGAGGGATGAATGAAAAAGGGGAGAGGGTGTGAGGAGGAGAGAAGGGGAATGAAAGGGAGTGGGAGGGGATGGGAGAAAGACAGGGAAAAAGAATTGGGGGGGGGGGGGGGGGGGGGGAAGGAGGGGGACAAAGAGAAAGTGAGGCAAGAGGGGGTAGAAAAAGAAAGGTATAGACTGTGGAGGAGAGAGACAGAGGGGAGGAAAGAAGGACAGAGAGAGGAGAGGGGAAGAGAGAGTTCGGATGGGGGGAGAAAGAGAGGGGGGAGAGAGAGAAATAGGAGAAAAGTAGAGAGAGAGAGGAGAAAGAATGTGGGGGGGGGGGGGGGGGGGGGGTGAGGGGACAGAAAGAAGAGAGCTAGAGAAAGGGGGAGAGTTCAAGGAGAGAGGAAAGGGGGGGAGAGAATAGGGGGGTAGTGAAGATGCAGGGAAGAAAGAAGGGAGAGGGGAGAGAGTGAAGGGGGGGGGAGGGGGAAGAGAGAAGGGAGAGGGAGAGAGTGAAGGGGGAGGGGGAGAGAAGGGAGAGAAGGGAGAGAGGGGAGGGGGGGAGATTAAAGGGAGAGGGAGAGAGTGAAGGGGAGGGGGGAGAGAAGGGAGAGTGAAGGGGAGGGGGAGAGAAGAGAGAGAAGGGAGAGGGGGAGAGTGAAGGGGAGGGGAGGAGAGGGGGGAGGGGGAGAGAGTGAAGGGGAGGGGGAGAGTGAAGGGGAGGGGGGAGAGTGAAGGGGGAGGGGGGAGAGAGGGAGGGAGAGGGTGAAGTGGGAGAGGGGGAGAGAAGGGAGAGTGAAGGGGAGGGGGAGAGAAGAGAGAGAAGGGAGAGGGGGAGAGAGAAGGGAGAGGGGGAGAGTGAAGGGGAAGGGGGGGAGAGAGTGAAGGGGAGGGGGAGAGTGAAGGGGAGGGGGGAGAGAGAAGGGGGAGGGGGGAGAGAAGGGAGAGGGGGAGAGAAGGGGGATCGGGGGGGAGAGAAGGGAGAGGGGGAGAGAAGGGAGAGGGAGAGAGTGAAGGGGAGGGGGGAGAGAAGGGAAAGGGAGAGAGAGTGAAGGGGAGGGGGGAGAGAAGGGAGAGGGAGAGAGTGAAGGGGAGGGGGAGAGAAGGGGAGAGGGAGAGAGTGAAGGGAGGGGGGAGAAAAAGAGAAGGGAGGGAGGGGAGAGAAAAAAAGAGAAGGGAGAAGGCGAGGGGGAGAGTGAAGGGGAGGGGGAGAGAAGGGAGAGAGTGAAGGGGAGGGGGAGGGAAGAGAGAGAAGGGATTGGGAGAAAGAAGGGAGGTAGAGAGAAGAAAGGGGGGGAAGAGAGAGAGGGGAGAGAGAGAAGAGATAGGGGGAGAGAGAAGAGGGGGAGGGGGGGGATAGAGAAGGAGAGGGAGGAGAAAGTGTTGGGGATAAAAGAGAAAGGGGGGAGACAAAAAGAGGGGAGAAGGAGGGGAGAAGGGGGAGGGGGAGGAAAGGAGAGAGAGGAATAGGAAAATAAGAGGCAAAGCAAAAAAAAGAAAAGAAGAAAGGGGTGGGTTTGGTTGTTCTGGGTGTAGAAGGCTCACTTTACACACACATTCCCCCCCCCCCCCATGTGGCTCAGGTTATGACCGCTAGCAACCATAGTTTCTAATTTGCCGCTCAGCTGACCAAAAAACCCCATTCCCAGCACAGTGTATGCAGGGGGTTGGAGTGTGGATGGGATTAGGCGGCCATAAATAGGAGATGACTTGAGGGTCGGATTGGACAGCTGGAAGATTGAGTGTGGGGGGGGTCTGGGAGGACAATGGTGACAGGACAGAACACATAGCAGATAGTCCCGGGCACGCTGGCTCTCCAGCTGTCAGACAGACAGCCATGATGCTGCCTATTACTATATCACTCCACCAAGCTTCAAGTGGCTGTGGGCTGCCGGACTAGAATCTTGCTGTCAGAAAATGTGGCACCAGCCACGTCCACAGCTGAAAATAGGAAAGTGTGCCATGGCTGCTACCTCCTCTTGGTCCATTTTTAATGAATTTATGGGGCACAATGGCATATTATGGGCTCACTTTCTATTACTCCATGTATGTAATGTGTCTCATACAGAGGGCCCCCCTTCCCTCAGGGCTTATGTGCTCTGACATGTGGAGACGATGTGTGGACTCTACAAGATGATATTTTCTATGTGATCTCACATCATAAATCCTTCTATATTACAGATGTTATTTCTGCCATTCTGTTGGTTTAGGGTGAAGATCTGATGAAGATGAAAGTTGGGGGTGAAGTAGAAGAGACGTATGTGAGGGATGATCAGCAATATACGGAGGAGGCTGGAATGACGAGGACATTCAAAGAGGAGGACACTCCTACAGAGATCAGCACAGGTGAGCCATCATACACTATATTGCCAAAAGTACCAGGCCAGCCCTCCAAATCATATGATTCAGGTGTTCCAATCCCCTCCATGGTCACAGGTGTATACAATCAAGCCCCTAGGAATGCTGACTGCTTCTACAGACATTGGTGAAAGAATGGGTCGCTCTCAGGAGCTCAGTGACTCCAAGCGTGGTCCCGTGATAGGTGGCCACCTGTGCAATAAGTCCATCTGTGACATTTCCTGGCCACTAAATATTCCACGCTCAACTGTTAGTGGGATTATACCAAAGTGGAAGCAACTGGGAACAACAACCACTCAGCCACCAAGTGGTAGGCCACGTCACATGACAGAGCGGGGTCAGCGCATGCTGAAGCGCACAGTGCGCAGAAGTCACCAACTGTCTGCAGAGTCAATAGCTAAAGACCTCCAAACTTGGTGTGGCCTTCAGATGAGCCCAACAGCAGTGTGTAGAGAGCTTCATGAATGGATTTCCATGGCCGAGCAGCTGCATCCGAGCCTTACATCACCAAGTGCAATGCAAAGCGGCGGATGCCGTGGTGTAAAGCACGCCGCCACTGAACTCTAGAGCACCTGAGACATGTTCTCTGGAGTGACCAATCACGCTTCTCTATCTGGCAATCCGAAGGATGTGTCTGGGTTTGGCGGTTGCCAGGAGAACGGTACTTGCCTGACTGCATTGTGCCAAGTGTAAAGTTTGGTGGAGGGGGATTATGGTGTGCTGTGTTTTTAAGGGGTTGGGCTTGGCCCCCTAGTTCCAGTGAAGGGAACTCTTAAGGCATCAGCATACCAAGACATTTTGGACAATTTCATGCTCCAACTTTGTGGGAAGAGTTTGGGGATGGCCTCTTCCTGTTCCAACATGACTGCACACCAGTGCACAAAGCAAGGTCCATAAAGACATGGAGGAGCCAGTTTGGGGTGGAGGAACTTGACTGGCCGGCACAGAGTCCTGACCTCAACCCCATAGAACACCTTTGGGATGAATTAGAGCGCAGACTGTGAGCCAGGCCTCCTCCCCCAACATCAGTGCCTGACCTGACAAATGTGCTTCTGGAAGAATGGTCCAACCTTCCCATAGACACCCTCCTAAACCTTGTGGACGGCCTTCCCAGAAGAGTTGAAGCTGTTATAGCTGCAAAGGGCGGGGCCAACTCAATATTGAACCCTATGGCCTAAGACTGGGGGGCCATTAAAGTTCATGTGTGTGGAAAGGCAGGCAGCCCAATACTTTTGGCATTATAGTGTACATTCTTCTCTTACTGTATTCTGGTCCAGAGTAGGGTGGGAGATGAATGATATTGGCCAGTAATAGGGAGATAATAGTCACTGATACTCATCCTACCACATTAGATCCTGAATTTTTCTTCTTTCAATGTCTTTGGTTCCAATGTTATGGCTGATCAGTATACACCGTGTCTACAGGTTAACTTCAAATGCTAATTCCACTCTTTCAGGATGAAACATAAATAGCAATGTTAGATCTGAAACACTTTATCTTCTCAGCAGGAACTACTGAAGATGTGCGTTTCGTTTCGTTCCAAATCGAAATTCGGACAAAATTTTCCTTATTCGAAGATTTGGATGTATCCAAATTTCTGAATTACAACAGCAACGAATTTCACGGAATCAGAAATTAATTTTAACAAAACAGGGAAGTTCATTCTTTTCATGCGGATGTTTGAAGCAACTGAATGAAATGAACGATCCGACTTGATTTGATAATAGCTGGCTGTTGAGGAATGGGCGTCCTTAATGAATGCCACGTCCTTAACAACCATGACTCATCTGCTATCAGTGAGATTCTCCTCCCCCATCATACCAGACCCTTCAGGTCCTGCAGAACCCGGCGATTCAATACAGCACTGAAAATGATATGAATGTAGGGCAGAACCGTTCCTTTTAACAGAAGCCTAGAGCTTTGGTCATGTGTTCTATGCTAAATGATCTACAAGTCTGAATTTTGAACCTCTTCATTATCAGAGATCACATGACCCAGTGCCTAGTCTTGTGGTTGTGTGAAGAGCATGCCCCTCCCAGTCCCCATTGGTTCCTTCTCTTCTGACAAGGCTGGGGAAATGTAGAAGTGATCTGGGGGGGAGGACCAAAGGACCTTTTACTGAAGAGGGGAAGTCACAGCTGGTTGGGACATCTACAGAGAACATCAGCTCACTGAAACCTACCTGATCCAGATGGAATCTTGATTTTGGTGAACAACTATTGATCATTATTTTATGTTTTTCCAGGATATGCCATTGAGGAACCCTCAAAGGATCCTCTCACTTTACCTCCAGGTTGTGAAATTAAAGAGGAGGACATCACAAGAAGAAACACAATGAGTTCAGCTATGGATGGTGGACTTCACAGTGTGGATGGACCATCAAATCTCTCTGACTCTGAGCAACCTCATACTGTGGGGGATGGTGCCGGAATTCAGGGGGAGGAGACATTTTCCTGTCCTGAATGTGGGGAAAGTTTTAGCTCTGAATCAAATCTTACTGTACATCAGATATCTCACACGGGTGGGAAGCCTCATTCCTGTTCTAAGTGTGGGAAATGTTTCCTTTACAAATCAGAACTTGTCATACATTACAGATCTCACAAAGGCAAGAATCCAAACTCCTGCCCTGAGTGTGGGAAATGTTTTACACAGAAATCAAAACTTGTTATACATCAGAGATCTCACACAGGGGAGAAGCCGTATACCTGCCCTGAGTGTGGAAAATGTTTTACACACAAAACAAGCCTTTATGAACATCAGAGATTGCACAGGGGGGAAAGGCCATTTTCCTGCTCTGAGTGTGGGAAATGTTTTCCACAGAAATCAAAACTTGTTATACATCAGAGATCTCATACGGGGGAGAAACCATATTCCTGCACTGAGTGCGGGAAATGTTTTACACACAAAACAAGTCTTAAAGGACATAAGAGATTGCACACAGGGGAGAAGCAATTTCCCTGCCCTGAGTGCGGGAAATGTTTCCTTTTTAAATCAGAACTTGTCATACACTACAGATCTCACAAAGGCAAGAAGCCAAATTCTTGCCCTGAGTGCGGGAAATGTTTTGTACAGAAATCAAAACTTGTTAGACATCAGAGATCTCACAGGGGAGAGAAGCCGTATTCGTGCCCTGACTGCGGGAAATGTTTTACACAGAAAACAAGCCTTGATGGGCATCAGAGATTGCACAAGGGAGAAAGGCCATTTTCCTGCCCTGAGTGTGGGAAATGTTTTCCACAGAAATCAAAACTTGTTAGACATCAGAGAACTCACACTGGGGGGAAGCCATATTCCTGCTTTGAGTGCGGGAAATGTTTCCTTTATAATTCAGAACTTGTCATACATCAGAGATCTCACACAAGCAAGAAGCCACATTCCTGCCCTGAGTGTGGGAAATGTTTTACACAGAAAGCAAACCTTGTTAGACATCAGAGAACTCACACTGGGGAAAAGCCATATGCCTGCCTTGAGTGCGGGAAATGTTTTTCCCAGAAAAAAGGCCTTGATGGACATCAAAGATTGCACACGGGGGAAAAGCCACATTCCTGCCCTAAATGTGGGAAATGTTTTACATGGAAATCACAATTAGTTGTACATCAGAGATCTCACACAGGGGACAAGCCGTATTCTTGCCCTGAGTGCGGGAAATGTTTTTCACAGAAATCACATCTTAATGGACATCAGAGATCCCACACGGGGGAGAAGCCGTATTCTTGCCCTGAATGTGAAAAATGTTTCACACAGAAATCATTACTCGTTGTACATCAGAGATCTCACACGGGGGAGAAGCCATTATCTTGCCCTGAGTGCGGGAAATGTTTTAAATGGAGGTTCTCTCTTACCTTGCATCAAAAGAGTCACAAAAGTGAGAAGCCGTATTCTTGTACAGAGTGCGGGAAATATTTTTTATTGAAATCATTACTTGTTAGACATCAGAGATCTCACACGGGGGAGAAACCGTATTCCTGCTCTGAGTGCGGGAAAAGTTTTTCAGGAAAATCATACCTTGTTATACATCTGAGATCACACACAGGGGTGAAGCCATATTCTTGCACTGAGTGCGGGAAATGTTTTTCATCGGCTTCCTCTCTTTACACGCATAAGAAGATTCACACAGGCGAGAAGCCGTATTCTTGTCCTGAATGTGGAAAATGTTTTTTACATAAGTGCAATCTTCAAATACATCAGAGGCTTCACACAGGAGAGAAACCGTATTCCTGCCCCGAGTGCGGGCAATGTTTTATACAGAAATCACAACTTGTTCTACATCAGAGATCTCACAGTGGGGTGTAGGGACCAACCCAACATTTCTGTGTTTAAAGTACAGTGGATAGGGGTGTGGGACTTTAACCACTTAAGGGCCACCCTATAGCAGATATACTGCTACAGGGCGGCACCTGTGCGCAGAATCGCGTGTATATATACGTGATTTTGCATTTCCGGGTAGGGGGCGCACACCCTACCCGTGCCGCTGATGTCAATCACCCTGGTCCCGGCCAGTAATTACCCGTTGGTGCCCGGTGAGTACCCAGAATCTCCGACGGGAAGGAAGATTGTTTTGTTTACAGTCTTCCTCCCTGTCAGCTCGGGCACAATGTACAGCACAGCCATCCCAATCAGTGTGATTACAGTGAAGCACACCCCCCCGCCCCCTAGTAAAACACTTCCATCACACAGTTAACCCTTTGATTGTCCCTCACGTTAACCCCTTCCTGCCCAGTGCCATTAGTACAGTGTCATTGTTTTTTTTTGTTTTTTTTTTCTTTAGCACTGATCACTGTATTGGTGTCCCTGGGGATGTCATTGACACCAAATCAGTCCCCCCCAGTGTCAGAATGTCTGCCGCAGTCCAGCTAAAAGTCACTGATCACCGCCATTATTAGTTGAAAAAAATTCCAGTATCTATACCGCTATTTGTAAACGCTATAACTTTCCCGTAAACCAATCAATTTACATGTATTGGGATTTATTTTTAGCAAAGACATGGAGCAGGATACATTTTGTCCTAAGTTTATGACGAAATTTGATTTTTAAAATTTTTTTTACTGGACAAGTTTAAAAGCAAAAATTCCAAAATATAGTTGTTTTTTTTTCCTCAAAATTGTCGGGTTTTTTTGCTTATAGCGTAAAAAATAAAAACTGCACAGGCGATCAAATACCTTTTTTGTGGGGAAAAAAGGACGTAAATTTAGATTGTTGCATGACCGCGTACTTGTCAGTTAAAGTAACGCAGCGCCTTTAACGCAAAAAATGGCCTGGTCAGGAAGGGGGGGGGGGGGAATTCCTCTGGAGGGCGAGGACTTAATGGTGCTGAAAACAGAATCATTTGAATCAAATGTTGCGTTACAAAAATCAAAAAATAAATATATTTTAAATCAACATAAAATTAAGCACTGTCAGTATATATGTAATGCAAACAGAATTTTCCAGGAATTAACTGTTTTTATTTCAGGTACTTCTATATCGCCGTCAATTTACACCGCGCTTTACATATATATTGTACATTCACATCAGTCCCTAACCCTCAAGGGGCGTACAATCTAAGGTCCCTAACTCACATTCATACATACACATACTAGGGACAATTTAGACAGGAGCCAATTCACCTACCAGCATGTCTTTGGCGTGTGGGAGGAAACCGGAGTACCCAAAAGAAACCCACGCAGGCACAGGGAGAACATGCAAACTCCAGGCAGGTGGTGCTGTGGTTGGGATTCGAACCAACAACCCTAGTACTGCCAGGCGGAAGTGCTAACCGTTTAGCCACTGCGCTGCTCTTACAATATAGAGGTGTTGTGTGAGCCAATGCTGTTGTTTGAGCCAATGGGGGAGGAGAGAACCAGGAGAGCTGCTGCTCTCGTGCACATTGCTGGATCAAGATTGGGCTCGGGTTAAGTATTAGCAGGGCTGGGGGCTGCACACTGAAGGTTTTTTTACCTTCATGCATAGAATGCATAAAGATGAAAAAAACAACCCTCAGCCTTTAGAACCACATTAGCAGCTCTGACTTTCTGACTGTCTATCTCATTTCTTGAGGTGCTAAAATACCAGGACAGTACAGACACCACCTAAATGACCTCAAAGTATTTACTGAGAGGAATGTTGAGTTCATTTTATTTTTTTGCCACGAGGTTTTGGAACATTAAAAAAAAAATGTTTTATACAAAGTTGTCATTTTAATGAGATATTTCTCACACATGGCATGGGTATATGTGGAATTACACCCCAAAACACATTCTACACATTCTGATAGCACGTGTGTGAGACTTTGGGAGCCTAGCCACATACAGGGGTCCAAAATCCAATGACCACCTTCAGGCTTTCAAGGGGCATTTAGTTATGTATTGGATTTTCTGACTACCTATCACATTTTTGGATGCCCTGAAATTAAAGGATAGTACAAACACCCCCCAAGTTAACCCTTTTTGGAAAGTAGACACCCCAAGGTATTATCTGAGAGGCATGTTGCGACTCTGGAAGATCTTACTTTTTTTTCCCCACATGTTTTTGGAAAAAATGTATTTTTTTAAACATACAAAATTGTCACTTTACTGAGATATTTCCCACACACATCATGGGTAAACATGGAAATGCACCCCAAAACACATCCTACTACTTCTGAGTATGGAGATACTACATGTGAGAGTTTTTAGGAGCTTAGCCATGTACAAGGGCCCAAAATCCAATAGCCACCTTCAGTCTTTCAAGGGCATTAATTATGCATTGAATTTCCTAACTACCTGTTGTATTTTTGGAGGCCCTGAAACCAGTATAGTACAAACATCCCCCAAATGACCCCTTTTTGGAAAGTAGACACTCCAACGTATTTGACATATTTGCTGCAGACTAATGTGACAGCTTCTGGCTCTCACGGGTTGCTAGGGAAGCAACAGCTGCCTGCAACAGCTGCGTCCTTAGCAACCACTGACTTCACCCCGCCCACTCCCTTACATGGCCACGTAGGCAAATGGGCGGGGAATAGAGGATGACATTGTCTGAATATGGCCATATATGGGCAATGATGTCACCACTATCCCCACCCCTTCCTTTATATAGCTGATGACAGCTCAGGAAGCTATCAGTATTTTGCAGATCTCATTTTTTTTCACAAGGTTTTAAAAAAAGAAAAAAAATTCTTGAATTTTCCAAAAACTTGTGGCAACAAATGAGATCTGCAAAATATTTGCCATGCCTCATAGCAAATGCTTTGGAGTGTCTACTTTCCAAAAAGGGGTAATTTGGGGGGTGTTTGTGTAGCCCTACCTTCTTTAGGAGTTGCAGAAGATTTGGGTCCTCCTGTAGTCCTAGTCAACATTCATTCCTCTCAGACTTGCATCAAGGAGACAGTAAACACTCCTTGAAATTTGTTTGTTTGAATTTTATCAGGGGAATTGAAACTTGGATGGGGATGGGGGGGGTACATGGGATGCCCAAGGAACTGTGAAACTGAGGACAACTTCCTGGAACTATGTACAAAGATTCAGAAGGGTCTTCTTTTGAGAGCTATCCAGCCTGGCATACACCCCAAACCCTAGATAGTTCTCCTCTATCCAGATGTCTGGAGGAATCCCTAGACAAGGGGGTCTAAATTCTGTAACTTGAAGCACAGTCCAGCAGTTTCCCACCCAAATGCCCTCTTCCCTACTCCAGTCCAGGGGGATGTAGCAGTACACATGGTCTCCTTCTGCAAGCTGTAGGTTGGCAGCTGCCTTCAGGCCTCCTGCTGGGCTGGCTATTTCTGTAGCTCCACAGATGGTCCTCTCTTGGTGGCCAGTGAGGTCCAGCTTTCCCTCTGTCAGCGACTTCGAGAGGCATTCCCTGGGCCTCCTCCTAGGCTCCACACTCCAGCTTCTGCTCTTACATTTTCCACCCAAACTCCATCTGCCTCTGAGCAGGCTCCAAGGAGTACTTAGTAACAGCTGTTGTTGCTAAGCGTAGAAAAGGAAAGAATGCTAGAGGCAGGACTAAATTGGTGTGAACCAACGGAGACTGGAGGTAATGTCTCAGACCGGGCTTGGAGTAGAGGCTGGACAAAGTCTACTTTCCATTTTTCCTCGTTTGACTTGAGAGCGCACAGCAGTAATACAATATAATAGAGCCCTTTGTGAATAAACTGAGCAATGCTCAAGAAAGTAAGATTCATCATCCTCCAACAATCACACTAGAGACTCAAAGTGAGACATATTAAAGGAAGAAGAAAAACCATCATGGCCATGAGGTATACCAAACAAAGCTAGCTCCGATCAAATTTCTTTGACTAGAAACCTATCCTGATTGACTAAGGAATGAACCACCTGAATGTACTCTAGCAGCTTTTTACCAGTTTAAACCCTCCAAAACATGGCGGCAAAAATCCTTTGACGCTAATGGCATGCGTTTATATAACCTCCTCTGGATGCGTCTTTTACGTTAAAGGACATCAAATACTGTGATGAGATACCTTCCAGGTTCCAGGTGCAGCTGATCTGGCTGCTATTGGCCTCGGTTAGGATACCGAGTGGCAAGTGTGCAGCCAACACAATCCGTACCAGACCACTTGTCCTCCATAAGGGGAAGGTACCTTACCCATGGGCTCCCCTGGCAAGGCACCTTGTCCCCATGTTGATGAGGACAAGGACCTGTTACTTACATCCCAGGCTGGTAGATGTGGGGATCTGTGCGTGGGGGCAAATAAACACCCACACCTTTGGCCAAGTCCTTTATTAAAAAAAGTCCCACAATGTAAATCCATCTTCAATCACATTGACCATTAATTTTGATCCCCATCAGTCATAACGAATGACGATCACGATGACCCATCAAAAGAAAAAAAATGACAACTGCGCATGACTATCCAATTCTGATGGACTCCACACACTCACAACTGAGACTGTCATGGACTGAGAGCCATTAATAAAGTGACAGTTACATCTTTGTCCACACACAGACTTAGCACCGAGAAGGGAGATTGACGAGGAGGTAGTAGATAGGACTGCACTCCACAGAGGGGTTTTTGTGTTTTCCAGCCACTGGCTTTCTCTGCTGAGACCACTCTCTTCAAAGAATAGTCTAGAGCAGTGTTTTTCAACCTTTTTTGTGCAAAGGCACACTTTTTTCATGAAAAAAAATCACGAGGCACACCACCATTAGAAAATGTTAAAAAAATTTACCTCTGTGCCTATATTGACTATATATAAAGTAATTCTCTTGAATAGGAATCAAACACAAAGAAATTATTTTATAATTACTTTATTATGAAATAATAAAGTATTTTATAATTGGACCCGGGGGCCGGACCAAGAGTAGATGAATGA